GGAGGCACTATATACAGCTGCAGTCCACAGGGCCCTGGGCTGGAACCCGGAGTAGAGGGTGGGCCTGGGTTCCCCCCCAAACCTCCCAATTGACCTGGACTGTGGGTTCTTCCAGAGGGGAAAGTCTCTGGGTTGTTCCCCAACCCACATGGTGAATCTCTGAGGCAAGAAAATCTGCCAATAAGCGCAGGACCCACCAAGATAGAGGAGAAACTTTGTCACAGTACATAAACAGTCTTTTTCATGGGGCACCCTTTGCCTAGCTGGTGAGGACACTGGGAAGCAGATAGCCACTCTACCTCAACATGTTCATTTAAATTAAAAATAGAATATCAGAACATGTGACCCCAAATATGACTTCAAATTGCATACTCACCAGAAGTTCCTTCCTTGGCATCATGCTCATCCATGATGCTGTTCTGTGACTGGTTGGACTGCTCTGAGGTTACGAAGAGCTCCTGGGTCTCCAGAAGAATTGATCCTCCACTTGCCTGTTTCCCATTTTCCTTCTCCTTTTCTTCTGCTTAGTGTTGCCTGAGCTGGCCCAGGACTCTGACTCCTCAGAGCTGTTATCCGTGCTGCTCTTAGGGATTGTAGTGGGATCACTGTTGAGAATTGCATGCAGCTCATTGTAGAAGTGGCATGTCTGTGGTGCTGCACCAGAGTGGCTGTTTACGTCCCTTGCCTTCTGGTACACCTGCCACAGTTCCTTCATTTTCATGTGACTGCGTGTCCTGGGTATAGCCCTTCTTCCTCATTTCCCCTGCGATCTGCTCAGAGATGTCTATATTTTTATGTCTGAATCAGAGCTGTGTCTGCACAGCCTCTTCTCCCCACAGACCAAGAAGATGCACCATCTCCTGTGTACTTCCGGCTGGAGTGCGTTTGAAGTGTGGAGCCGCCATGATCAGCTGGGCAGGCAAGCTCTCCACACCAAAAAATGGAAATTCAAAAGTTCCTGTGTACCTGGCTTCTGGGCAGTGGAATTGAAAACATTTACCAGAGTGGTCACAGCGGAGTATTGTGGGACACCTCCTGGAGGCCAGTTAAGTCGACGTAAGCAATGCAATGTCTACACTGCCTTTGTGTCGACCTAACAACATTGAATTAAGTGCTACACCTCTAGAGGAGGTGGAGTAATTAGCTCAATGTAGCAATGTAGGTGAAAGTGGTCTGGTAGTGTAGACACATTAATTATTAGGTCGACGTAAGCTGCCTTATGTCTTCCTAACTGTGTACTGTAGACCAGGCCTTAGACACAATGGGTCTGATCCTCAGCTGTTTTAAGTGGAGATACATTGCTTTAGATCAGCTGAGGTTCTGGCCCAGTATCAGTGACTGTGACCTGACTTGGCAGATACACCACCATCTACTTGTGTGTTGAGAAAGCAGAATTCCATCCCCCTGACTACATAACAGTTCTTTCAGGCAAAGCCCTTCTACTTAGAGTTTGCTCTCAGGGGCAGGATCCCTGAGAGTTTAGGGTTCAAATGAACCTATATTAATTATTCATGAAAAAAATATGGACTCTGGCTTTTTTGAGCTCTTCTCACATTAACAAAAAGGGCCTGATTGAAAGTCCACCTAAATCAGGGGTATCTTTCCATTGGCATCAATCAGGTCCTGTATTTGCACATAAAAATCACAAAGCCTCAGTAGATAACAGATCTCCTTGAGTGGACATGCCTCCTTCCTAATCTAGAACACACCAGTTCTAGGAGCTGTACTCAGTTCAAAGATGTACTAAACTGCTCTGTGTTCCTCAATCAATAAATACCTTTGACTGCAGATAAAATAGCGACTGCTACATCACCTTGTGTAAGTTCTCTTCTCATGATATATTTTTAGGACAGAAAAATAATTAAAAAGCATTTGGGTCAAAAGCATTTAAAATATGGTCAGACATCAGTGGATCATGCCCCAACTAGGTTTTATAAGAGGCATGACTGTTTGATCCACAATTGTAACCATGTAACTTGTTTTATCTCCAGGTATAGATAAAGTAAACTCCAAAAAATAAAACAAAATAAAGCAAAGTGCGATCCGAGGCCCTTGGTCCATAGTCCCATTGATATTAGCTCCCAAGGGACATAAGGATCACATGCGGTCTTGTAGTTTGGAATGTAAGCTAAAATGATTGTGTATAAGAAACAAATCCTTGGAATGTGTGCTCTGGTGAAAATACACTCTGCTAAGAGTTTGATCCTGAAATCTCAATGGTGTAGCATGTTTGGGGAAGAGAGAGCAAAGCTATGAGTGCTGCTGATCTGCTTCTAGTTGTTAGCATATTTATATTTGATCTCCCAGCATTCTGGATTAACTTTCACTGCTGGCAAAAGAGCAGCTTGAAGTGTATTTTTAAATCTTCTACCCACACAATCATAATAAACAGAACACAACATGAAGGATTCTGGACAAATAGTAGACAACTGAACCCACCCGTTAAACTTCCAAATCAATCACTCACATTGTGATTGGCTTTCAAGGCCTGTCTAGGTCATATTATGACTCCTTTATTAGTGTTTAAGGTCACCAGGAGACATGCAAGTGCATCCTATATCAGGAAGTGTCGTACGACTCAAGAGTGAAATATTTGGCTTTTAGTACAAGCTGTGGCTGTGACTCGGAAATCCAGGGAAGTGAGTTAAATGCAGACAAGCTCCAGGCGCCACTGCCTCCACACTGCCTCACAGGAGATAGAATGGACTAGAATAATAGAGGCTTTCCTGCCATTCTCAATATTATGTTGTATTTCTGTCCCATTGAGTTCCTCGAGGCTATTTCCCATTCTGCCCGGCTGACCACAGGCAGTAATTCAAAGGAAAAGGCTTTCCGAAAGGCAGGTACACAGCACGAGAATGTGAAACAGTCTGATTTCATATTGGTGCCAGGCGATTGCTCCTGCAGGAAGGCAGATTAGAAGCCCGCAGTGTACACATTCTGTTAGGTGAGTGCAAGTCTGTGTGACTGTGCAGCAGATTTATTGGTTTATTTATTGGCACTGGCCTGTAATTAGACTTGGCAAGCATGTGTGCACACCCGTGTGTACACATGCACACACAATCACACAATGTAAACCACACCCCTGCCCAAAAATGACTAACCACAAACAAAGACTACTTACTATCAATGAAAAGGGAAAAGAAGGCAGAACTGCGGCACTCAAATCCGTCTCTCCACCTCTTGAAATCTTCAGATCAAGACTGGATGCCTTTCTGGAAGATATGCTTTCACCAGACACAAGCTAGAGGGCACAACACAGGAGTAATTGGATTAAATTCTGTTGCCTGTGGTATAGAGAAGGTCAGACTAGAAGATCCAATGGTTCCTTTTGGCCTTAAAAATCATTGAAAGTATGAAATCCCACAGATATTTTTGTGCCTTTTGGCAGACAATGTCACAGCATGCCTAACTTTCGTTGCAGTCATTCCCCAACCCCATTGGTAATATTTTGTGGACAGTTAATGTGGTTCAATTCCAAGTCAAACATAAATGTACTGGAATAATAATATAGTGCTTTTTCATCCATGGATCTCAAAATGCTTTACCAAGGAGGTCAAGTGTCATTATCCCCATTTTACAGATGGGGAAATTGAGCCACAAGAAGGTGATGTGAATTGCTGTTCCTTTTAGATAGAATGATTAAAAAGAGCTAAAGGAGATACAGCTGCTAGTAAATATTGATACATGAAAGTGAAAGGAAGCAGGATGAGTTTTCTTCAGTTACAAGATAAAGTAAATAATGATGCTGTGTTAGTCTGTAGAATGACAAAATTAGCCCCTGTCAATAACACACACGCCCCATATAGACCGAAACGGACAAAGGCACACAAACACCAACAACAGTTTCAGGAGGTAAGGATAAAAGGTTTTCAGGTCTGTTTTTGCTATAGTGCAGTGGAACTTTTGTGAAGAGTCTGTGAAGTACTCACTGGCTGCATAAGAAAGAAAACAAATGTTTAGCCTATTAGCAGAGGAAAACTATTAAGAAATGATTCCCTCTAAATGACATAGATAAACTAAAAACAGAACTACTGGTCTAAATCTTAAAGAAATATTATATCATAATGAAATGAGAGAAAATAACACTGTATTTAATAACTGGAACAGGAATGACTTCTCTAGGGTTGCTTAACTGTTTCCACTTATAGCATCCTGCTTTCAGACTTTCATAACTTTTGGAAACTTCCAGGCTAAAATTTTTCATATTTGGTCCCTGCCAAATTATTAGAGCGAAAGAGAGTGCGTGTATGTAAATTTAAATGAAAACAGTTCAACTACAGTTGGTTAAAAAAAAAACATAAAATGTTTTGTGAAAAACTTTCAGATTTTGAAGTTCTTACCATTTTGGTGGGTTCCAGATAGAGCCATTTTCTGTTTTTCACAAAACTGTTCAAATTTTTTACCAACATTTTTTCAAAATCATTTTTGAAAACATTATTAAAATTTTAAATGAAAAAAAACCCCCTGTTTTTAGTTGTAAAACTTTTTTTGGTAAACATAAAATTTTGAAAAATGATTTTAATAAATTTTTTTGATACACATATAGATTAACTTTTTTTTTGCTAAAATGAAAATTGTTTAAAATGTCACCAATTCCCCCTCCCCCCAAAAAGTTCTGTTTTTACAAAAGGCCATTTTTATGAGAAATTTCCATGCACAAAAATTTCAGCTCTGGTTCATCTTTTTCGTTGGTGTGTGTGTGTGCGCGCGCATGCTTAAAGCGTGTTGAAAGTGGGGAAAAAATGACATTCCCTGTATGCGTAAGGGAATGAGTTAAGGTTGTGCATGCAGCCTTGACTTCCTGGCTTCAGCGTGGTATGCCATGCAACTTTAATCTTCTATTAATGCACTTATGTATGCAATATAGTGTATATAAATACAAGGGGACCTGTGGGTTTTACTAAAAATGATGGTTTTGCCCTGAGGCTTTTTATCCCAGTTGAAAAAGAGTCAGGAAACAGGTCAAGCTCATGGCACATGTGTATGCATATGCACATTTGCATTACACGTCACATCTATGTCTTGCCTATCTATAAAAGACATTACCTCACCCACGTTGTCTCTCTCGTAGTCTGGGACCAACACCATCCATCCACTGGCTAGTATCTGAGCACATCTGCTCTACACTTCTTAGCTGACAATGAAATGTACAAGACTCCTAACACACCAAACACTTATAAGACTGGGATTCATTACAGTACCTTCTTCATCAGTGGAGAAGAAGATTGGTGTGATTTGTTCATGGCAGACAATGCAAATTAATAGTCTAACTTTAGGCCTACCAGTTTTCACAATGTCCCTTAACGTATCAGATTATATTTAATTACTACTATTACCACAATAAGGGAAGCTCTGTAGGGAAGCTAAACTGTATGTTTAGCAGAAGGTCTAGAGTAAACAGTACTGTTAGCACAGGTAGGTTGAGTTGGACTTTTGAGAACATTTGGAGAAGGTTTTCAACCTATTCCATGTATGTTTTTGTTCCTGGTTTCCTGTTTCTCTCTCTGGCACTCTCCCTCTAGTGAGGATAGCAAAAATATGACTAGGAAAGTATTGCTATAATGGGTATGTAAGGGGCTTCCTCATTCCCTCGCCCCAAAGAATAAAACATTTTGCCAGTGTAGAACTTGCAATCTCTCGTAAGCCTGAGGTGACTGGGAAAGGTTGTGTGCAATCTGTCTAGCTCATGAAGCTCTGAGATCAGTAGTATGACAAACCTGGCTGTGCACTGTCAGACATTCATGGAAGGCTCACACACTTACTATGCATTTCCTTTAGCAGCCACTGTATGTCACGTCTGGGATCTATGAATCTGTTGGAAGATATTTACCGCCTGTTTCAAAATGCAAGTGCAAGGCAGATGAAATTAATTAGACATTTCATTTTTCTGCTTTGCTATCTAAAATTTCAAATGGAGGCCGACAGAGGATACATTTCCCTCCGTATAAAATGTATAGGTTATATTATGAGTAGCCTAAACATTAGTACACGGTACAGTGTCAGCTTACATAATAAAACAGGGATTGCAATAATCCTGCATAAAGTCTACTTTGTATGTTGAGAAGTATTATGCAGCAGGGTCCAACATGAAAAGAATCATGTCTCTTATTCCACCACTCTGGCCAAGTACCACGTTGTCTTTACTGGAAGACTAGTGTTCATCATGTGTTTAAAACTAAGAGTGGGAGAAGTTGGGACATAACATTCTTGGGAGATGACACTATAAATAATACTGCCTTGCTTTGCCTTTGTGTAGCTAGTACATCTGGAATATTATAGTGTGAGCAGAGAGAGCATGCTATAGTTAAGGTTGAGTTCCAGCTTCTATTTAATGTCCCTTTTTTCAGCTTTTCATAACTTTCTCAAACAAGTAGGCTAGACAAATAGACTCTAAACTAGGAGACATGCTCATCAGGATTCAAAATTCCTCTCTGCCTATTCCCCCTTTGGAGAGATACTCGTCAATAGGAGTCAAGCCAACAGCTCTACATCAAGGAATGTACAATTTCCACAAGTGTATAGTGTTGGATCAAGAAAATTACAGGCTCTGGCAGCTATAGGGCTCTGATTTTTCCCCTGTTCCTCTCTTTTAGTAAGCAAATAATCAAGGACATTCCATGCAAAAACGTAGGTAGATAAGAATGGACTTTATAGAATGCAGACTGGAAGCTCCTCTTCATTTAGAGAGAAACATAAATGTTGGTATATGCCTGGCTCAATGCGTGTGTGTGTGCATGGGCACACATGCAGGTTAGTGACTTTTTGATTTCTACATACAAGAATCACATACATTATAGCAATGCTGTTATTCTAAAGGTGTCACATCTCATGCCAGGATTCTTGTTTTCCTCTGTCCACTGTGTTTCAGTGGTTACATTAGAGACCGGACACTTTTTTTTCAAAGAGATGGTTATGGTTTTTACCCACAATGATGTTTTTAGTGGCTTGTATTTCTGATGTATGCTAAGTCACTGCACTGCATGTGAGAAATGTTTTTCAGTAACTGGGCTGGCAGGTCTATAGTCTCAGTCAAGGGTGACTGGCATGAGCCAGACATTTCTGGTGTCCACGGTGTCTGTCCTGGAACCCTTGCAAACTTTGAAGACCAATGTTATCACTGTTAGGCTGAGGTGGATACTGACGTGAGCTCTGGTACACAGGAACTGGGCAGAGGCCATTTAGTTGAAAGATGCTAGTGAGATCTTTTATCAAAGGAAACAAATGGCATAATAACAATGTTTTTGTTAATTTCTCACAAGTACTTTATGGCTCCATGGAAAGTGGAACGTTGACAAAAATCTTGAAAACAGTCAGGACTTCATAATAAATTGCAATGGTGAAAATATTTATTTTTTTCCTTTGGTGAAGTCCCTTTTCTTTGGGAACATTTTCTTCGTGGTTCAGCAGGACATGGAGGCTGATGGTGCATGAAAACATATCACATTGGTGAGTATACTTTGCAGCAAAATCAGTACAAAGAATGTCCAAACCTTTTGTTTCCTTACCACATTGCTCCCTTACTTTTCTTTCTTTCATCTGTTTCCCAGGCTTGCCTCCCCCACAAGCAGGCAGTTCTAGAAAAGAGTAAAAGGATCCAACCAGTAAACAGAGACCTTAAAAACTGAGGCTAGAAATGAGAAGGGAATTTCCCTTTACATTGTAAGGTTCTTTGATGTTCTGAAGTTCCACTGAAATGGTAACACTTCAAAACTTGGTAAGCAGGGAAGCACTAATGGTGAAGTTCAGGAGCAGGCAGGGGACTGAGAGAAAATTAGTTATTGCTGAGTCTGCCCAAAATGCAGAGAGAGAGACTAAACAATAGAAAAACCCTCACTACGCTGTGGTGGGAAGTGAAGGGGTGTGTGTATATAAGACTGAGAGAGACAGTGAGAGAGACTAAGTGTTTCTTACGGTCCCTCATCAATTGGAGGAGGATAGAAGAAAGGGTGACCATATGACACACGTGCCAGCCCTGCTCCCACATTCCTGTCCTGAGGTTCCTCTTAATAGGTATATAAGGTTTTGCACATTTTGTACTGCAGATCCAAGTATGTATGAAGAGCTTTTAAAACCAGACTATGGATTCTGTTTAAAGGAAAGCTCACATGACATAATAGCAACAGTGACAAATCGAACGAGAGAGAACATATTTGAGAGAGTTTATCAAACAAGAGGATGAGGTGGGTAGGAAGTTTATGTAACCCATGTGCCTAATAGGGAGATATCGCTTTCAGAGACCTATGTGGAGGATAGGAGTGAGTTGTGTCTGGGTTATTATTGCTAGGCAGGAGGGATAGCTCAGTGGTTTGAGCATTGGCTTGCTAAACTCAGAGTTATGAGTTCAATCCTTGAGGAGACCATTTGGGGATTGGCTCCTGCTTTGAACAGGGGTTTGGACTAGATGACCTGTTGAGGTCAATTCTATTAGCCATCCAGAAGCCTCTGGATTTTGGGTGGGGTAATTTGGGGTATGCTTCAACAGACTCCATAAGGGTAGCTGCTTTACAAAGGGCCATCTGTGAGTTGGGAGAAGCTGAGCCAAGGAGCAGAAAGCAGGCTGTTGTCCCTAACTCTGAAGCATTTTGCAGCAGGTTAGTGATATTGTTAACCCTCAAACAGGGAAACATGGGCAATGTTAATAATAGCAAGGGGAAATTAGAAGGGAAAAATAATTTATTCTATTTTAATTGTATGCTTTGAATGTTGTTTTGATTTTAGCCAAACTGTTCTAGTTAAATTGTCTCAACTAGTGTGATTCATCAACTTTCCTTTAAATGTAGTAATGGGGAAAGAGTCATTTATATTTTGTTATTCTCAGATTTGTATTTTCTTGTAACAGGGTTTTTTTTTTTAATCTACACTTAACTGATTAATCAGTTAGCTGACTGGCTAACAGTGATTTCAGAAGAGGAAGGGTCTGCATGGATTCCAATTGAAGATTCCTACAAGCAAGTAGAGGGAAGATGTTGTTTTTTGACTCCGCAGACTAGATTTGGTGATCAAAGACTCTAACTGAGATTCAGGTGAACTCAACCTACGCTTTTGGGAACTCTGTTTCTTCTCACTGTTTCGGTGGAGACTGAACTGTTGAGATTTTATGTAGATCTATGTAGATTATAAAATAACCATGTTATGTTATAAAAATTAAATTATTATTTGTTTATCATAAGATTTTATAAAGTATTTAATTAAATTCATTTCTTTAGTTCCTTTTGGGATTTGAATGTGGTGAGGCTGACCCTGTGCAATCCTTGCTGAAAATCCTTAGAGACTGAATTCTTGGTCTCCGGCTACTTTTCTATGGGAATTGGGATTTTTTAGGCACTGGAGGAGGGCAGTGAAGTGAATTCTAGCCCACCCAAAGGTTACATTTACCCATGTGCTTTACTCCCTAAGGGCTTGTTTACATGGTAGATCACTGTGCGGCAATGTGAATCTACAGTGCACTGGCTCACCGTGCAGTAATGTTCTGTGTGGACACTGTTTTGAAAGACCAAGTGCAGCTTGACATACAATACTTTCAAGTATTTTTCCATAAGGTGGGTTGCAAATGTTATCATGAACTTGTAAGTGCTTGTTATATGTCTGCAGGCTGGCAAAAATCTAAAACATTAATATTTTAGCAGGAGAATGCTATCCTCGTGCCCTGATGACTTTCATACCTCAGGAGTTTGGTCCTCCATGAGAGCGTTCCTCCTAAGTGATGGTGAGATCCAGTCTCTGGTGCCCTTGAAGAAGACTTGGTTTTCATTTTAAAAATGAAAACCATGTTTCTAGCCACTTCCCTGGGCTGCACTTCTCTAGGATGAAGCTGGTGGTTTAGCAACCTGAATGGAACTTGGAGAGAGGAGCACAGGTTGCAGGAGGGAAGAGTTTGGAGAAAGCACCAAGAAGTCACTCTGTGTGTACATGGCTGGAATGCTAACTGCAGTTGGGGCACCTCTGTAAGTTGTTCTCTTAATAAAGAACCAGTTTAGTTTTAGAAACAATGTCATTTCATGTTATTACCAGGTATGTGGTACATGAAACAAAGGGAGCTAAAGATATGTACACACTCACACACTTTTTATGTGAAGGAATCAGCTATGTTTGAGGTGAAAGCCAAAGAATCATCATTGTAGCTCAGGGGTGGGCAAACTATGGTCCGCGGGCTGGATCCAGCCCCTCGGGGCTTCGGATCCAGCCCGCGGAATTGCCCCCCGTGGCTCTCAGCAGCAGCCATCCCAACGTCCCTGCGACCCCTGGGCCCTTGCCTCCAAGCACTGCCCTCCGCAGCTCCCATTGGCTGGGAATGGGGAACCGCAGCCAGTGGGAGCTTCTGGGGAGGTACCTGGAGGCGCGGCAAGGGCAGCGCACATGGCGCCCTCCGCCCTCTCTTCCCTCAGGGGCCGCAGCGCTTCCTGGAGCGGCGCGGGGCCGGGACAGGGCAGGCATGCAGGGAGCCTGCCCTGGCCCCGGTGCGCGCCGCTGCCACCCCAGAGCCTGAACCCCACCTGCACCCTGCTCCCCAACTCCCTGCCCTAAGCCCCCTGCCTGCACTGTGCACCCCTCCTGCACCCCAACTCCGTGTCCTGAGCCCCCTCATACATCCTGAACCCCTCCTGCACCCCAACCTCCTGCCCTGAGCCTCCTCTCGCAGTCCGCACCCCTCCTGCACCCCAACTCCGTGTCCTGAGCCCCCTCATACATCCTGAACCCCTCCTGCACCCCAACCTCCTGCCCTGAGCCTCCTCTCGCAGTCCGCACCCCTCCTGCACCCTTGCCCTGAGCCCCCTCCTGCACTCCGCACTCCTCCTGCACCCCCAACCCCTTCCCTGAGCCCCCTCATACACCCCACACCCCTCCTCTGCCCCAATCCCTTGCCCCTGAGCCCTTCCTGCACACCGCACCCCCCCACACACCCCGCACCCCCTCCCGCACCCTAACCCTCTGCCCCAGCCCTGCATACAATTTCCCCACCCAGATGGGGCCCTCGGCCCAAAAAGTTTGCCCACCCCTATTCTAGGGCACTTTAAAGAATGTGGAGGGTTAGCCAATTAAAAGTCTAAAACCATGGCTTATTGACAAGGCCACATCAAACTCATGATCCATTTTGGTCAATTTCATGATCATAGGATTTTGAAAATTGTAAATTTCACAGTTTCAGCTATTTAAATCTGAAATTTCACAGTGTTGTAATTGTAGGGGTCAGGGCCGGCTCTGGCTTTTTTGCCGCCCCAGGCAAAAAAGCCTCCCGCCGCCCCCCCCCAGCGGGGACTGCGGCAGGGGAGGGCGCCGAGCCCGGCCGCGGCCCTGCTCTCCATGGCCAGCCGGAGCGCCGGGAGGAGGGCGGAGAGCCCGGCCGGGGCCCCGCTCTCCCCGGGTGAGCGCAGCCCCCCTCCAGGTGCTGCCCCAAGCACATGCTTGGAGGGCTGGTGCCTGGAGTCGGCCCTGGTAGGGGTCCTGACCCAAAAAGGAGTTGTGTGTGGGGGTTGCAGGTTATTGGGTGTGTGTGGTGTGGGGGTGGGATTGCAGTACTGTTACTTCTGTGCTGCTGCTGATGGTGCTGGGCAGCTGAAGAGTGGTGGCTACTGGCCGGGAGCCCAGCTCTGAAGGCAGAGCTGCCACTAGCAGCAGCGCAGAAGTAAGGATGGCATGGTATAATATTGCCACCCTTACTTCTGTGCTGCTGCTGGTGGGACACCACCTTCAGAGCTGAGCACCTGGCCAACAGCTGCTGCTCTCCAGTCACCTAGCTATGCAGGGCTGGCTTTAGGCCGATTCCCCCGAATCGGGCCCCATGCCTAAGAGGGCCCCGCACCCTAAAGAAGAGGCGCCTTTTAAATTTTTTTACTCACCTGGCGGCAGTCCAGGTCTTCGGTGACATGTCGGGGGCGGGTCCTTCACTCGCTCCAGGTCTTCAGCAGCATTTCAGCGGCGGGTCCTTCAGTGCTGTGGAAGACCCAGAGCGAGTGAAGGACCCGCCACCGAAGTGCTGCCGAAGACCCGGACCGCCGGCGGGTATTTGAATCGGGCCCTGCACTTACTAAAGCCGGCCCTGGGCGCAGGTGACAGTTCTGAGATGGCTCGGGCCAAGGTTGTAGATAGCAGCAGCTAAGCTGAGGGACTTTGGTGCAGTTCCCCTTACCCAGCAATCAAAGCTGAAATCACCTCAGCTAGGTCAAGTGGTAGAGCCCCTGGAACTGCCCAGGCCATACTTCCCTTTGGGGCTAGAGATGGACCTACCTGGATTTTTGGACTCCTCCAACCTTTGACAACAAACTGAGTGGAGAAGAGGGAAGAGTTTAGAACACATTGGCCTCCACAGCTGTTAGAGGAGGACAAAGGTTAAGACTATTGCCAAGACATCCAGGGAGGCATGAGTCTTACTTAATAGAGTTTGTTGATTTATGAATAGCCCTGGGTGGTACATACAGTTTCCCAGGCTAGCTTCCTTGGCGAGGGCTTGATTCAGTGTTATCTGAGTTTTCAGAAAGTACCCCTAGAAAATGAACCCAGCCTTTTTTGCTGCTGACAATCCCTGGCAGAATGGAGACACAAATCAGAACAAAGAGCCATTCCCTATAAAGGAGATGTGTCTGCACAAGCCACCAAAATATTGTCATCTACGTGTGCAACAGATACCTCTTGTATATGGGAGATCCTGTTTGAAAGCCTGTGATTATGTCAATACTCTGAAATTCTTAGTGGTTATAGAATCATTGGATGCTTTTTCGCTGTACTAAGGACAATTAGTACAAGAGGGTATAAGAGCAACATTTCAGATAAGGTAAATGAGGTCTCTAGGGCTGCAGGCCTGACAGAGTATTGAAATAAAAGGTCAGGTGACCCAAGCTGGTAGAGGGGTAATAGGTCTTCTAATCAGGACCAGAAATCCACCACTAGGGTTAAGTTAATTTGCACCAACTCCTTCAAGGGTAAGAAATACAGATTTAAGCAATGTCCCTTAATTATGCCAATACACATGATACAGGCTTCAATACAGAAAAAAATGAGAGACTGTAATCCTTGTTATTCTCATTACTGAACTTAATATTTTTTGTGAGGTTTTAAATAATTGGGAAAGCAGATGAGTAGAAAGTGGCACAAAATGTTAGAGTAGCTTCTTTTAGAATGGAGGATTTATTACACTGCATGTTACCAGAAATAGGAAGGGACTTTGTAATTCCCCTTATATTTTCAGTTACATAGTTTTGCCACAGAGGGGAAAAAAAAGACAAATAGCTCCTGGAATGGCTGATTCAGACTATTTTATTTCTGGACTCTCTGTGAAAAGTGATTGCAGGTAGAGTATGTAAAAGCTTCCATAGTTTGAATAAAACTAACAAAATTAACTATAAGTACAAATGGGCCAAACCCTCCAATTTCCCAATGAAAGAGGAATAATGGGATAGTAGTGTACACCAAGAACAGTGCTCCAGCTGCAGCCAGATAGATGCTCAATATATGTTATCGAGTTTCTATTATACCCTTACAAGACTATGGGCCTGTGATGCAGTGTCCACATGGCAAAAAGTACAGCAGGTTGTTAGGGCAATTAACCTGACAGGCTGCACCTGGGAAGAGCCAGGGACTGATGGGCTGATTGATGATGAAGCCCAGCTGGGCAGAGGCAGCCCGAGCTTGTACAAAGCCTGCAAGCTGAGACCAGAAAAGGGTTGCTGAGGAAGTAGTCTGTAGTCACTCCTGAGGAGAAGGTCTTGTGTGTGAGGTTAGTGAGATGCTGAAGAAAGAAGCAGTTTACAGTTTCTTTCTGGGAGGAGAGAATTTGGGTTAGTAAACCCAGAAGATGGGGCTAGAAGATAGAGGAGGGCATAAGGAAGGAGTCCAGGAAAATAGCAACAAGGTCTGGGAGCAAGTATCCTGTAGTTGCTAGATGTAGGATTGCTGGGCTGGATCCCAGAGTGATGAATGGGCCCAGATTCCCCTACCACCTGCTGGTAAAGTTGCACAGGACCTGGCCTTGGACTGGAAGACTGTGTAGAGTGGCATGAGGAGTTAGTTTGGTAGGCCTCTGATATTACAGAAGGGGAGGACTATACACTGGTCTGGATGGAGAGTTCCATCAGAGAGAGAGAGCACTGCAAGTCCTGTAAAGCGAAGAGGGATGTGGTGTGAGCAACCGTCAGAAAGGGGGCATCTGACCTGAAAGAAGCTGATCCCCAGATGTAGCGCCAAGGAGGTATACTAGTGGTGAGTGAATCCCCTGGCAGGGGCATAAAATTGTCTCACAAGTAATGTTGAAGAAATTGCAGTGAAGAAGGGAATGTTATAATTTGCAATAACCCCAAAGTATATAATTTTCTGCCAATAATTCTGTAATCATCAAAAAAACGACTGGGATGGGGAACATCGAGTTTTCCCCATACAAGGTTGTTTAGGACAGTGTAAACAATACTGAGATAGTGAATGCAAACACACCCACATGTTTGTAAAAATGTTATTTTTAGCAGGGAGCCAAAGTAAAAGCTTGGAAGCCTGAATCCCCTATGAATTGTAATGACTGGTTATGGAGAATCTAGTATATGGTAAAAATGGACTTTGGATATAATTTTGAGTGATTTAGGAGTATAATTTTCAGTTTCTAAAGTAACCTAGGCACTTAATGCAAGTAAATATGACAAGCTCTTATGTCCTTTGCCCCTAAAGCTTTTTGAATGTAGGACTCAGGCTCCTAAGTCACTTAGGCACATCTGAAAACTTTATCCTGGGGAGTCTAAATTGCATTGACTTTTTAATGAGACTTCGGGCTCCTGTGGGACTAAGTCACTCCTACAAATGGGAAATTGGTGCTTTTTGAAGAGTTTGCAACTTGAAACATTTGTTTGGTTTAAGAAAAAGTAAAGGCTCCTTCTTACATCACTTGGCAGAACACTGTCAAACCCTGAAGGAATTGGACACCCAGACAACTCAGTTTGAAATTTTGGACTAAACTTATTTCTCTATTTTGGAAAAAAATAATTTGTGCATGTCAAGTGTCAGTGGAGAACTCTGAATGTCTGTTTCAGAATAGACATTGCTAATGTTTGGTACTATGGTAGGGGATGAGATTTGCTATTTTATTTTGAAAGGGTGGATTGTGCAGTTG